AACAGCTCATTTCAGCTCTCCTGTAACCTAGAGCAATTTGTTGGGTTTGTGTCGAGGCTAAGAGAGTGTGACCTCCGCTAAGAAATCAGGCACTTTTCTCAGACATGAGTGACAGGCACCAATCTGCTCATCTCCAGTGGCATCCCACTGGACACTTATGAAGTAAGGCAGATAGAGCTTGGCGACCAGGAAAGAAGGATCTCCCAGGGAGGAGGTGGCTTCAGGGTTGGTGTTACTGATAGAGAGGATATGGCGCTTTTAATGGAGATCATGTAATTCGAGTGCAGGCATGTGGGGTGGATTTGAGTTGAGGCAATGGGAATTGTCTGGTAGGCACGTATTCTAGGCCAGTCAGGAGAGGCGGGCCTGACGAGGTGTAAGGAGGTGTGTCGAGGAAGTAGAGGTATGCCAGGGTGTGTGAGGAGCCACGGGGGCTCTCCTTGCAGGTTGACTCAGAGGTAGGCACACTGAAGACTGAAGGTTCAGGGAAAGAAGGGAGGGCAGTCTCCAGAACTTGGTCTCCGCATGGAGGGTGCCCTGTTAGAGGCGTGCCTGACAATAACTGGCACCTGGGCAGTTGTCCAACTATGATTTACAATAAGGCATCAGTTTCACAAGGCTTTCTGTAAATTATTGCACCCCACCAATGGCCAGGTTCCCTGCTGACAGTGGGCCAGGGGTCAAACAATTCAATCAGGTGCCACCAGTTATAAATTGAAAATCAGTGGGGTGCAAAATGGATTACCATCAAAATCCGCTCAGGTGAAAAACCAAATTTCAAAACCCCTAACCTTTAGAAACCACCCCCTTTCTGATTCTTCACAATGCTCTGACACTTAAGTTTTTTAATATCCCCTAAGATAAGCAAACGTCAATAGAAACCTCAGGAGGTTGGAAGTGAGGAGCGGAACTGTCTTTGCCAAGCCTCCCTTTGGAAACTTGCGAATGTGGGACATTTTTGAATTAATACCTTGAAAATTCCGTTAGATTCCAAAAGAGCAGCCTTCAAACTTAGACAAGAACCACCCGGGAGGCTTTAATGTCTTAGCCAGGCTGTAGCTTGGAGTTTCTGTGTATCTGAGGTTGTGTGTAAGAAGATCCCTTTCTAGCAAGTTCCTGTGGCTTCTACTACTAGCCCCGGGGCCACCTTTAAGGATTGCTGCCTTAAGATGTAGGAACAGTTTGGCAACTTGACTACACAGCAAACTGATTAATAGTGACTTTAAATTTTTTCTTTTACCTTTTGAGATAATATAATTGCACCATTTCCCCCTTGCCTTTCCTTCCTTCAAACGCTCTCACATACCCCCTCTTTACTCTCTTTAAAATTCATGACCTCTTTTCTCATTAATTGTTGTTACATACATGTATGCATATGTATATACATATATGTATCCCTAAATATAACCTTCTCAGTCTGTGTAATGATATTTGTATGTGTGTTTAGGGCTGACCATTTGGTATTGGATGACTAATTCATGTGGTCTTTCCTCCACCCATTTTTGTATATCTATTGACGTTGCCTTTGTTCAGCTCATATTTAGGCAGTCATGTTGCTGACATTATGTGGGTGTGACTTCTGACTTTACTTGGAGACATGGTTTCACACAAACTTCCCGATCCTCTGTCTCTTCCGATCTTTCTTGCCCGTCTTCCAAATATTCCCCGAGCCTTAGACGGGGAGGATGTTTTATAGATGTCTCTATTTGGGCTGAGATCTACAACCCTGCATTCTGACCCATTGTAGTTTTCTGTAATGGTCTCTGTTTCAAAGTGAAGTCTACTTGATCAGGGGTGAGGACCATGCTTATATGTGGGGGGACAAGGACACTATTTAGAATGTAGTTAGGGAGTATACTAGATCAGACACTGAGGGCAGGGTCATAATGTTCTTTTACTTAAGACACCTGGGAAGAGAATGGTTCAAAGGAAACTAGATTGGTTTGAAAGTCTTGTGTTCAGAAATGAAATTCGGAGGATGGAAGGAAGAGAAGAAAGGGAGCCTTCCATTCCTAGCACATTCTAGAAGACTGGTTGCTGAAAGCACACACAATGTCGTCAGGGCTGAAGTAAGTTCTCCGGTCTTTGTGGAAACGTACATTTATTTGATGGCAAATTCCTCTCTTTTTTCCTAATTAAAAAGTTTCATTTATTTTACACTCTGACTGCAGCCTCCCCTCTGCCCTCCAACAATTTCCTCCCTCACCTCGCCTTTGCCCCTCCTCCACCTCTGTTTAGAAGGGGGGCAGGCCTCCCACAGGCGCCAACAAAGCAAAGCCTATCAAGTGGAGGTAGGGACTAAGCTCTTTGTATTAAGGTTGGGCAAAGCCACCCAGTATGAGGAATAGGTTCACAAGAGCCAGACAAAGCAGTAGGGATAGGCCCCACTCCCACTGCTGGGAGTCCCGCAAGTAGACCAAGCCACACCACACATATGCAGAGGGCCTAGGCTGGTCCCATGCAGACTCCCTAGCCACCAACCATAGTCTGTGAGCTCCTATGAGCAGGCCAGCTGCTTATATGGATTCCCTTGTGATGACCCTAACACGCCCTGGCTTGTATAATCCTTTCCTCTCTCTCTTCTATAGAATTCCCTAGGCTTGGCCTAATGCTTGGCTGTGGATCTTGGCATCTGTTTCCATCAGTCACTTGGATGAAGGTTCTCTGATGACAATTGGGGTAGTTGCCAATCTGATTACAGGGAATGGCCAGTTCAGGCCACCTATAAACTATTGCTAGAAGTTTTAACTGGGGTCTTCCTTGTAGATTCCTGGGAAATTCTTGTATCAGGTTTCTATCTAACCCTGAAATGTACCTCCCATCAAGTCATCTCTTTCATTACTCTCCTCCTCCACCCACCCCTCAACCTCATCCCTCATGTTCCCATCCCCAACCTGGCCCCAGTCTCCCCAGGAGATCTCCTCTATTTTCCCTTCCTGGGGTGATCCATGCATTCCCCACTTGGGCCCTCCTTATTACCGAGTCTCTCTGGGGCTGTGGATCGTAGCACGATTATCCTTTACTTTATAGCTACTATCCACTCACGAGTGAGCACATACTGTGTTTGTCTTTCTGGGTCTGGGTTACCTAACTCAAGATGATTTTTTTCTAGTTCCACCAATTTGCCTTCAAATTTCCTGATACCATTGTTTGTAACAACTGAGCAATACTCCACGGTGTAAATGTTCTATACTTTCTTTATTCATTCTTCGATTGAGGGGCATCTAGGTTGTTTCCAGGTTCTGGCTATTTATGAATAATGCTGCTATGAACATAGTTGAACAAGTGTCCTTATACTATGATTGAGCTTCCTTTGGGTATATGCCCAAGAGTGGTATAGCTTGGTCTTGAGGTAGATTGATTCCCAATTTTCTGAGAAATTGCCATATTGATTTCCAAAGTGGCTGTACAAGTTGGCACTCCCACCAGCAGTGGAGGAGTGTTCCCCTCACTCCACATCCTCTCCAGCATAAGCCATCACTTGTGTTTTTGATCTTAGCCATTCTGGTGTAAGTTGGACTCTCAGAGTCGTTTTGATTTGCGTTTCTCTGATGGCTAAGGATGATGAACATTTCTTTAAGTGTTTCTTGCCAATTTGAGATTCTTCTGTTGAGAATTCTCCGTTTAGGTCTACACTCCATTTTAAAATTGGATTATTTGGTTTTTTGATATCTAGTTTCCTGACTTCTTTGTATATATTTTGGAGATCAGTCACCTGTTAGATGTGGGATTGGTGAAGATCTTTTCCCATTCTGTTGGCTGCTGTTTTGTCTTATTTACCATGTCCTTTGCCTTACAGAAGATCTTCAGTTTCAGGTGGTCTCATTTATTGATTGTTCATCTCAACGTCTGTGGTAATGATGTTCTATTCAGGAAGTTGTCTCCTGCGTCAATGTGTTTCCCATTTTCTATTCTATCAGGTTCAGTGTAACTGGATTTATGTTGAGGTCTCTGAAACACTTGGACTTGAATTTTATTTAGGGGAATAGATGTGGATCTATTTGCATTTGTCTACATGCTGACATTCAGTTGTGCCAACACCATTTGTTGAAGATGCTTACTCCCCATTGTATAATTTTGGCTTCTTTGTCAAAAATCAGATTTTCATACATATGTGGGTTTATGTCAAATTTTTTTGTTTGATTCCATTGACCTACCTGTCTGATTTTATGCCAATATCATGCTATTTTTATTACTATAGCTCTGTAGTAGAGCTTGAAACCAAAGATGATAATACCTCCCAAAGTTCCTTTATTGTACAGGATTGTTTTAGCTACCCTGGGTTTTTTGTTTTTCCATATGAAGTTGAGTATTGTTCTTTCAAGGTCTGTAAAGAGCAAATTCCTCTTTAAAAAAGATTTATTTATTTATTTTACATATGATTGCTCTATCTTCATGCATGCCTTTATGCCAGAAGAGGGCACCAGATCCCACTATAGATGGTTGTGAGCCACCATGTGGTTGCTAGGAATTGAACTCAGGACATCTGGAAGAACAGTCAGTGCTCTTAACCTCCAGCCACTGCAAATTTCTCTTTTAAGGTGGTGTGTGTGTGTGAGTGTGTGTGAGTGTGTGTGTGTGTGAGTGTGTGTGTGTGTGTAGTTGTATGTTCATGTGCATAGGGAGGCAAGAGGATGCCTTAAGTGTTGATAAATATTGTTCCTCAGGTGCAATCAGCCTTTTTCAACTTTGAAAGTTGGTTTTCCCTAGGCTAGGCAAACATGAGCACCACTTTTGAAAAAGCTTCTAGTAGTTCAAATTTTGATTCTTCTGCTCTATGCATGATCCTAGAAATGCATTTTCCTAAGTCATTGTCATCTGATTTTAGACTTACTCTCTTGTTCTTTCTGAGTCAAGCTTATTGTCCAGTATAAATTGTAGCTATAATCAGGTTCAACATGAAACATGTCTCTTCCTTTAGGGTGGATATGTGGATCCCAGGGTGCAGAAGAGGCAGTCACTGCCTCATTCACACTTGGTTTTCTGTTTCTTTCTGCCAGGCGAAATTGAGAGATGCACGTACATCAAGTACCACTACTCCTCAGCAACCATCCCCAGGAACCTCACATTCAACATCACGAAGACCATCCGTCAGGATGAGTGGCATGCCCTGCGTAAGTACATCTCTTTGGCTGTGACTGTGCTGTGATGTCACTTGGAGGGCTTGGGGTTGTGCATTGATCTACTATCTACTATCTACGATGCCTGAGTTGGTTTCGATTGCATTGTAGATTTGTGGAGTTTGTTTTTTATTTAAAAAGACTAAGCCAACCAAACAAAACTCAAACCACTATCAGTTAGACAGAGATCTTAATTTGTTCTTCGGGAAGGCATCTGAAATTTCACCTACCTGATGGGATCTGCTCTTGGGACTTAACTCCAGCACATCTCCAAGTAGCTTCAAATATTATTGTGGCAACCTGCTAGTCCCCTGTGATGTTATTTGTAAAGGGTGAGGCATGCTTATGGGTTGAGGGTATACCTGGGGGATCTGTACCTAGGTGGAGGTTATTAAGCAGGAAGGCCTTCTCTGCTTACAAGCTTCTGTGTGCCTTGGGATGCTAGCAGCTGGCTCATGAGTGATCACTCAGCAAAGAACTAAATATCTATGCCTGTTGGTTTGGGAATTTCTAGTTTAGCGATTCTTAGAGACTTGCATTACAATGAGAGAGTGACTTAATGAGCAAACAGAGATGGTTAGCTATTTTTGAACTTCTTCTCCATGGGAATCTAGTGCCTGTCAGTGGCAGGTGGTGAGAGAGCTCTCACTCACTGCTGGCCCCATTCTTAGCGTTGACCTATGCATCCTGTGAGGGAGCATGGCGTATTCCTGTTGGGTTTGCTGTTTCTTCTTCCTACATCATTGTTATCACCCAATATCCAAAGGATCGGGCTCAGTTTATAGCTACATAGACATAAGCTTTCTTTTTTAAATTAGAAACAAGCTTGCTTCACATGTCAATCCCAGCTCCCTCTCCCTCCCCCCCCCCCGCCCTCCCAACCTCCCCAGCCCCCCTCCCAATCCCCACTCCATGAGGCTCTCCGTGGGGGATCTCCAGAGTCTGTCCTCTCATTCAGGGCAGGGCCTAGACCCTACCCTCAAGAGTCCAGGCTGAGAGAGCATCCCTCATTGTGGGATGGCACCCAAAGTCCATTTGTATGCCAGGGATAAATACTGATCTACTACCCAAGGCCCCATAGATTGTGTAGGCCTCCTCACTGACACCCATGTTCAGGGGGTCTAGATCAGTCCCATGCTGGCCTCTCAGCCATCAGTCTTGGATCCATGAACTCTCCCTTGTTCAGGTCAGCTGTTTCTGTGGGTGGACACCAGGCCAGTCTTGACCCCTTTGCTCATCACTCCTCCCTCTCTGTCCCTGGGTTCCAGGAGTTCAGTTCAGTGCTCAGCTGTAAGTGGACATGAGGATCCTTTTATCGCACCCTGATAGCTAGACTCCCTTAGTTGATGGACTCTGAAGAAGACAATTCTTCAGGCTAGAACATTCTTCCTGTCTTCGTTATTATCTTCTTGCCTGGTCGTCATTGCGTGCATGGAGCCCACAGGTGTCCTCCACTTTTCGAACTTGATTCTAAGCACCACAGCTTGGAGTGGGGAACGGAGCGGCGGGAGAGCGGAAGTGAAGTTAGAACACAGCGACCGCTGGTTTCATGGGGGGAAACACACACACACACACACACACACACACACACACACACACACACACACACACACACACACACACAAACCAGTGCCCAGATGATGGCCTCTCAGTGCTCCTGGCCTGCAATGACAGAGCAGGTGCCCGAGGATGGCCCTGTAAGCCGTACTGTTGTCACTTTAGAGACACATAAGTAGCGTGCGGGGATAGAGAGCTAATGTTCAAAGAGTGTTCCCATGTGCTACCCATTGAGTTAAGTATGTCACATACATATTTAATTTTACTGTGAGACTGGCCTCAGAGACTCTAGTAATCAGGGTTATTAATTTCTTTTGGATGGTTGGCATGGAAGACTCCAAATATAGAACTGTATGGTGATAGTTTCTGATTTTCTCACGATACACCAGTCCAGTATAGTCACTTAAAGGAATGTTCAAGGTGCATAAGTCTTATTGATTAGCCATGTAAGTATAATAGATTCTGGGATTCATAAGAAGATTCAAAATCTAGGAGGAAAAAAAATCACTAACATTTCCAATTCAAATGGACTCGGTCTTTCCGAAGTTTCCAGGTTTCTCTACATACCAGGCACGTGCTGGGTATCGAGGCCATGGGGAGCTCTTTTAAGGAGCTAGAGTCTGGGGGTGGAGAAGGGTGGGGCTGAAAAGGGCATTCACAAAGCAAATAATTACAAGGCAGTGTGATAATTACAACATAGTAGAATTGCTTCAAGCAATTAAAATAGTTTGTGTGTCTGTGTGTGTGTGTGTTTTTTTTTTTCAGCTAGAAGGAGAATGATTTCAGTATAAATTGCAGATACTTCAAGGGAAAGCCTGGTGAACTCTGTTGGCTGTGGCCAGGGTAGATGTCTAGAGTTGCAAGAGATTTTCTGTCATGCCATCCTTGGAAGTATGCCGCGTGGCATCATCCAAGAGAGAGAGAGAGAGCTTTGTGGGGGTCCTCTTTGAGCTCTGTGTGTCTCCAGGGTGCTCATTCTCCAACTGTAGTGCCGTTGGGTTCTGAAAAATCCAGCAGGCAGCTTCTGTAGCCAAGCAGTGTGCCGACTTCTATTTTTAACTAGTCAAAGCCATTTCGACGATTGATACACGCAAGGCCTCTAGCCCATGGTGGTGGGTGAAGTTGATGCTCCCCTTTGGTGATGGATTCATTTGCCTCTTTCGTGAAGTCGCCTAATGGGCTATTAAGCTGGCAGAGAGCATTTGCCGTGCCTGACATCTATGACAGCTATTTTAAGCCAGAGGGCGAGTGAGCATCTGTCACAATTGAAGTTGGTCCTAAGCATAACTGGCAATGCTGGCGTGATGGGGAGGCATGGTCTGTGTCCATGTTAATTTTCAGAGGTTAGATTTTGATGACATGAGGTAGGAAATAGGCACGAAAACCTCTTTTGAAATATAGTGGAAGAAATTAAACATTAGGAACCTCATGTTGATCAGCGCTGAAAAATGTGGAAAGACCCCACCCCCAACATGATTTCTTGGGCTGGGAATGGGGTCCAGTGATAAAGTACTTACCTACCCAATATATGCAAGCCCCAGTATTTAACTCTACTACAATTGGAAAAATAAAACCCACACCAATTTGTTAATATCATTGTGTGCTTCAATCATCTAAATGGGACAAAATAAAGTAACCTGGTTATCACTTTGTAATTTGACCTTAATATCTTATGCTTTGTAATTTTTCTCAGGTAGTTTTTTTTTTCCTTAGAGGAAGAAATAGGATGGGAGGTTGTAATTTATTTGTTATGAAATAACAAGACAAACATTTGAACTTAGGTTCACTTTGGGTCATACACTTTTCATTGGGGATTTGCATGTGGTCAAATCACTGACCCCTGTTATAGGAAAGAAAATAAAAAGCTTTCAAGTAGGAAAAGGCACAATTTGGCTTAAAGCTATGTTGTACATTTTGAAAAGTTAACCCCACCAATGCAAGACTTAGCTGTAGGGCTCTCAGCTCTCGCATCTCATGGTCGTATGAAAGGCAGGTGAAAAGATAAAATGAACTGTAGGACGCCATGCCCGTGTGTAAAATGCTCACCCCGTGGGTCACATGCGCACAAGGGAGAGGAGCAGAGGTGTGGTCTTCATGTTCCAGTGTTCCGGGTGAGCTGTGGCAGCGTTCTGACCCTGGCTTGGACAGCAAGGGTTAGTGAGGTCTGATGGGCGTGTCCTGCCCCGCCCCTATTACCTTGGGGGATGGCAGAGTTCCTCCTAGAGCTGTAATCCGTGTCCTTGGTCCACTTAAGCCTGACTGTCCTTCAATGTTGTCAACTCGATTTATCCAGCCCAGGTAGGTAGCAGGGATGAGGCAGCTGCCTCTGTGGACTATGGATGTTCTGTTCTCCTCAGTCAGATCTCCTGCCATTTCCAGGGCTGGAGCAGGACAGGACAGTGCCGCTGGCCGTCAAGGAGTGGACAGTGGCCTCAGGAGACGGACTTAGCAAGTACTACTGTTTGGATCCCTTGTCTGGTTTAATACTCTACACATGATAGAATCTGATTACCGGTGGCTGGGGGAAGCTGGCTGGCTGCCGTGGCATTGTAATGGCTCTTCTCCTTCCTCTTACTAGAAAACACCTTTGTGGGCTTTCCACTACCCATAATTCAGTCCGAGGGGCAACACTGTCCTCAAGTACCCCACCCCCACCATAACCCCAGAGGCTTCCCCAAATGGCTCTACCTTTGTCCTTCTCGTTATTATGTCCTCTGACCTCTGACCTGTTTTGTCGGCAGAGCCAGGACCCTGCACACTCGCTCAGGGCATGGCAAGGGCAGATGGATGGGTGTGTGTGGGGACACGGTGTCTCTGAGGGACCCGAAACAGGACCCAGCATCAGGGTAGGGCTGGCAGAGGCACCATGACAGAAGCTGCTGGATAGACCCTTGCCTGAGAGGCGAGGAGGTTGACCATCCTGGTGCTGACTCCCCAATCTACCTGCCAGGGACTCAGTGGGTGGCTGTGTCCGAGGTCTCCCGGTGAGAGCCCCAAGAGACTCGGTCAGTGTGTTTGTGAACTCACAGTTTTGTCATTCTGCTTGGTGTAGGCATCTAAGAGAGAGGCTTCTGCTCACAGTTGGTTGCCCCTGGCAGTGAAAATCAAGGCACTGGGACTCCACTCCTGAAATCACATCTTCCTCATTATCTTTTGAGAGCCTGAGAGCCCAGGAAACCAGATTCTTTTTTCTTCTTGAAGTTTCCTCCTGTCAGAACTGAGGGTTTAACTAATTAGATTGGATGGTGACTTTGCACTTTTCCAGCTGCCTGTGAGGAGACTGGGGGTGGGAGGAGGAAGGGAAGGGAAGGGGAGGGAACACATCCCTCTCTTGACTTTCTGGCCTCGGGCTACGACCACACCCAGCATGGGCTCACACACACTGCCTTTGAAGCTATGCCCTGGGTACTTAGAACATGACACAAGAGCCTGGCAGG